TTAGTTTGGGATGTAAGTGCTGTACATTGCATTTCATAACTGTACAAGTGCAGTCCATCACGTGCCTATCATGCTGCGTGTTCTCAAGTGTGCTATCAGCAAGTTCTGAGGGTTTTTACATGAGCTCCCACTGGAATGTTTGTTTCTAACCCACAGCCTCTGTGAGCTGAGTGCATCACAATGCAGAGAGCTGTGTCTCTTGCATGTGGAGCCTCACAGGTGCTATTTACAACATTACAGCTTTTAAACAGAATGTTGTTTGGAAAACATATATGTATTTTTTTTATTTTTTACTGTGGAAATGTGATGGTTTTTTTTCACGCTTGGTAATGCTGTGTCTGGATTGTAAGATACTACTAAGTGCTTGAGGTTGGACTAAGTATGTAGGGAGGCTTAACATGGCGGAGTGCTCCAGATGGCTTCAGTAGAGGCTCTGTGTCAGCTGTAAGATAAACACCAACTATGATAAATGTAAAGGAGTCTTAAAAATGACAGTTTACTGAAACTAGTAAGAAGTACTTTTTGTGTATGTATGAATGCAGAAAGGAAAATACACTATTCCGTTAACAGTCTTGGTTGTTAGCGTAGCTAATAATCCATTGGAAATGAAAAGTGGGCTGAAGTGTGTTAGTGTAAGCGTGAAAGTATAGTGCAGTACTGTTGTGTAGAAGTTTCTGTAATTAGTAGGTGTATACTACATCTAATTCAAAAGATTTGAAACTATGGATTTCCAGAGGAATGGTATATCTCAGTTTATAGGCATATTAACTATAATATAAACAGCTGTGAATAATTGATTTATATGGCATTGTGCTTATTCACTTTACCTCCTCCTGCAGTATAGAAATCCCAGATGTGTTAGATTCCCTATGCAAACAATGTTGAGAACTGTTTCTTTTAGTATGGAGAATATTAAAAATAGTTGTTGGACTGGAGCCCTTGAGAAAAGTTGTTTAGCATGCAGTTTCCTTTTTGTTGTCATTGTTGCTGTTTTAATCTCAAGCTTTTCATAATACATTTCTTTCATACAGTTTCAAGACAAACATTATTTCTGCTTAACTAGCATTTTTCATTAATTGAAACCATAACTCACTGTAAGGCTTCAAGTTTTAAAAATATCAACAGTTATAAACTAAACAATTTCAAATTGAAGTTGGACAAGGGAATGATTTTACTTATTTTTTTATTAAAATGATAGCACTCTTGGTAGCATTCATTCATTACTTGCTGAATGGTTCTGTGAACAAGTGATTTGCTTTTACCCAAACCTTTTCCTGTGAATGCAGGTGACAAAGAACTAAAAACTGTTCGAGGAGTGGTGACAAGATTTTGCAATGATTATGGAATGATAAATGACCTGATAGTCTTCACAGAGCATGCTGTTGTAAACAATATGCCACTGGCTGTAGGACAGGAAGTAATTGCTACTGTTGAAGAGGACAAAACATCGAATGGCTTGAGGGCTATCAAGGTAAGAGATGAATATAAACAGTAGTCTCTCAGAGTCTCACTCTCTCTGTAAATTATTTAAGACTTTAGAAGTCCCTATGTATTTAGTCTCCTGAACAGTACAAAT